AGTTTTTAAAGCTACAAACCCACATAGACAAACTGCAAAAGAAGAGATGACAGCATTTTGGACACTGGAAGGCCAACAGAATGATGAGAACCAGTTTTAGAACAGAAAAAGGAGACGTTAACTCATGGAGAGAAAGACACCACCATGCACCTATGCCATCAGAATAGAGACAGAAAAGACTCTCTGGGTTTAGGGGTATTGGATACCTGTGAAAGTTGGGGTATAGGTATCCCCTACTTATGCCCATGGGGAGTGCACCTCTCCCCTTTGAGCTCCACCCCAAGGCCAAAGTTTCCTGAAGACTGTCTGCCTCTGCCAGTCCTAGAACTGGGCTCACCCCAGGAACTCTGACCACCTAATTACAACAGAATATCGGAAGGTCCTTGCCAGATGTCAACATAAGGTAATATCCGTCCTTTTGACACACAGAGATCTGCGTGTCAAAAGGAAGAAGTTTCCCAAAGCTCAAGTAATGGCTGCAGTAATGATGACTCTTGATGAAGTCAATGCCTGGCCACCAAACAAGCTCTCATGATGGTGGACAAGTTTGTCCCTGCCTTCACTAATTGACCATCAACAGTCCATTTTTCCCATTGAATAACTTATTTTCAGAAATGTGCTTCTGTAACTCAATTGTTGCATGCAGGTTAACTAATGGAGGAATTATATAGTAATGAATAAAAATCAAAGTGTACCAATCCTCCTAAAAATACTAATGGTATCAGCCAGAGTTCTGGTCTCTCACATGAAGAATCCAGGAGGTAAACAGAACTTGAAATACAATTTCATAAATAAATGTAATTAATGAAATAAATAGGTTAGATAGATAATAGATAGATCATAGATAATTGATAGATAATAGGTACGTAGATAGATAGATGATAGATAGATAGATAGACAGATATTTTATGGCATTATCTTCCTATAAAGAGAGAAGTCTGTTTCCTACAGGTCAAGGTAGAAAAGCTGTCCTCCAGGCATCCACGGTGTGCTCCAGCAACCTTGCCAACACCAGCCCTGCTGCCCGTGGGCTGGCCCCCTTGCCACCACTGTTCTGGGTTACACTTCCTCCACGCTGTGGCTGGCCATCCCCCTTCCTACCCATCCTTTAATTTCAGACTTGAGCTCCAGCCCATTCATGGAGCACAGTGAGCTCTTTGCAGTGAATTCCCTTGTATCTTGACACAATCAAGTGGCAAGGTAGGATTTTCTCTCCCCAGCCCTTCCCGTCCTGGGGAATAATGAGCTACACTCTTGATAGAAACTTTTAGCAGAGCACACGGGGCAGGACTGAGTGGGATCTTTCCCTGCTGGGGGAAGGGAAGCTAGTCTTGTAGATGCGTTACCTGGGGCAGTACCAGGTGGGGCAGCTACCCAGGTGCAGGGCCTGAGCCCGCTTCCCACCCTCCCCTGCAGCTCTGCCCAGGGGGAATCTGGACTGAGTTCATCCAAGGAGAGGAAATCCCTTATGCCCCTGTGAGGTAGGCCCCTGGAGACTTAATGGGAAAGTCCAAGAAGTGGAAAAGGGAAACACTGCTGGCCCCAACCTCTGTTCTGCTAGTGAGTTTAGTCTTTTCAGTCAGACTTTTCAGGGAGTGGATTGTACCTTTTCCTTTTTCCAATGTTACAGAGGGAAATGGGATAACACTATATTGTATATGGTTTTTAATAAGATTTTAACTATTCTTGCCGGTGGTTTTATTGTAGTGGCATCTTCAGTGAATGTCAACTACCAGCAATCTCAGAGAACTCAGAATAGAGAGAAGTGTCCTTTCTTTGTGAATGCTGCCCTCACTGGACATGAGCGAAATTCACAGGTGAAGACTAACGTTTGTCCCTGCCTTCTACCTTTGATTTATTTAAAAGGGGGGGGGGGGGGGGGGGGGGGGGGAAAGGGTTCAAGACTGTTTAAAAAGCGGGGGGGGGGGAGGGGAGGCAGTGGGTCCTGGAAAAGTAAATCCCGTTCATTTTACAAATAGAAGTGATCCCCCTTGTTTTTACAAATGCTGGAACATGTAGAACGTGATTATGAAAGTGGTGTGTACCCATCATGCTGGTGAGCAGGATGTGATTTGGCGCTTTAGGAAAGTGAATTTGTAGAACTTAAGAATATTGATTTATAAAGGCCATGGCCGTTGACCCAGTGCATCTTATGCAAATCTGGATGCCATAAATAATATTTGAAAATAGAAGTACTGGGGTGGAGGTTGCAGTGAGTGGAGATTGCGCCACTGCACTCCAGCCTGGGTGACAGAGTGAGACTCTATCTCAAAAAAAAAAAAAAAAAAAAAAAAAGTCATTCCCAACATTGCTCATCAAATTATAACCATAAATATACAGGATTAAACTAATGGCTAAAGAGACTATGACACATCAACACCAGGCAGAGGATAAAGCAGATTTTTTGTTTGTTTGTTTTGGAGAGCCTCTGGGAACTTGAAAAATACATATGCCACACTCTTAAGACCTGGTGGTTCTTAATCAGCTGTGTTCATTAAAATGGCAGAAAACTGAAAAAGGCTTCTAGGTCCCATCCAAGGAGATTTTGCTTCCAATTGACTGGCTAGTGGCCTGGCCATCGGTATTTTGGAAAAGCCCTCCAAGTGATTCTTTTACTTCCACCCCAGATAGAAAATTCTAAATTAAAGGGGGAAAAAAAGACACCAAGTGGCACTTAAATAAATGTCAACTTTAATTCCACAAAGCATCTGATTGCATGTGGACAGAAAGAGAAGGAAAGAGGGCCCTATATCTGGATAACTTAGAAATGTGCTCCCCCTAGCAAGATATCTACCAAAATTAGAACTGTATTTGAGGATGCTGGCACTGCGAGCAATATATAAATGATGCGTGTAATGTCATTTAATATGATCATATTTTTAAAAATGAGTTGAGTGGTGTTTTCTAGCTGTTAGTTTTTCCAAATATCAATATAGAAATTAGTCTTCTGCAGCTGCAGAGGCAATTCAGTTTCCAGCTTGCTTTCATGTGGCCTACAGCCATAAAGTGGCCCAGAGCATCTCTGATCCACCCCTCCCACAACCACCTAATCCAGAGAATGCCTTGGACCATCTGGTGAGAGAGGTAGCTGCGTGGCAGTAAGAGTCCTGCTCTGAAGTGACAAGAGCCTTAAGGTCTAGTTTTGACTTACTGCTAACTTGCTGACACTGCAAACTTGCTGAGTGATCTTGGCTGAATCCTTTCACCTCTCTGAGGTTCACTATGAAATGAGAGGTCAAGAGTCCAAACTTTAACACCTTCAGAGGTTGGGTAATATCAGTGAGTAAAATGGACCAGGCACAGCACAAAGTGGAATGGTGCAGACTGGGAAAAGTGGAGAACTTATACCTCTGTAAAGGGGGCAGCCACCACTCAGTTCCACCACTGTCTTTGCTGAGGACGGTTGCACAGGGAGTGCACTGCAGAAGGATAACACTTTACAGAAGGTGTCATTTGCATCATAGATGCAGACATTTATCCATGGCAGTTTCTGAAGATGTCTGTAGAAGGTTTTGAGGAAGGGGCACCTTGTAATTTGCATAAAAGGTGTAATATGGACCGCCAGAAGTGCTGGTTATCATGTGCGAATGCAGCTCTGTAATAATATCTTCTGGGATTTCTTGTTATTGTTGTTTCCTGAAGAAGCTGGAAATATGGCATTTAATGTGAAATTTCCCTAATTTAAATTTGCTGGCCACAAATTCCAAAACATATTTAACATTGTGTGGGCCAAACAAAACATTTCAGGGGGTCAGATTCAGGCTCTGAGTTGGAGATCTCTCACCCAGACGAGTTGCTGGCATCTCAGAAACCCTCCTAGTCTATGCATCTTATGCAATCTTAAGCAATCACAAAGAAAAAATAATGATCCTGGTGAATTATATGGATATAATATGGATTATGTGCCTATACAAAGTAAGAGTGCATCCTTTGAATGACGGTATTTAACATTCTCCCTACCCTGTGACTAATTTTGATTTGTCCTTTCTTAATGTAAATGCTACTTCTCCAGAGAGAGCCTCCTAAGACTTTAATCTAACTTAGGTTGCCTCTGTTACACTTTCTTGAAAACACCTTATTCTCCTGAGTAACACCTATCGAAGTTACAGTATGAGATATCCACTTGCGTGAATGTTTGCTTAATGTCTGTTTGCTCACTCTTGGGTAGCAGCCAGGTTTTCTTCACTGCTGTATCCCGGTGGGGCTACGCCTGGTATATATCAGACGCTCAGTGTAGATTTATTTTTTATTTATTATTATTATTATCTTATTTATTTATTTTTTTTATTAAGGATTCTTGCTCTGTCACCCTGTCTGGAGTGCAGTGGTGCGGCCTCGACTCACTGCAGCCTCCACCTCCCAGGTTCAAGTGATTCTCCCACCTTAGCCTCCCAAGTAGCTGGGACTATAGGCACACACCACCACGCCCAGCTAATTTTTGTATTATTTAGTAGAGATGGGGTTTCACCATGTTGGCCAAGCTGGTCTTAAACTCCTGACCTTAAGTGATCCACCCACCTCAGCCTCCCAAAGTGCTGGGATTATAGCCGTGAACCACCACACCCAGCCAGTGTGGATTTACTGAATGATAGATTCATCTCGACCCCATCACAGAAGCTTCATTTCTTCTTGACATTGCTGATCTGACCCTTGATGCCTAGAATTTGACTTCTAGGTTTTTTTATTTTGGATGACGTTAGCTTTCTATGGCTGAGGATACCCCGTCACCCACACGTCTCTCTGAGCCACAGAAGAGACCCAGCTCAAACCCATGATGTACAAGACATCCATATTTGGCTTGTGGCTGAAGCCGCGATGGGTTGGGGTGGTGGACTCACATTTTGGGTAACATTCACAGACATCTTCTCTGATAGAAAGTGGGTGCTGGGGGCAGGGGAAGTGTTATCAGCACAGAATTAAATTCTGCCCCCTTATCCATATTTTACATTCTGATTTTATTTCATATGAGTTATAAAATCATTACTATGACAACTAATAGGTCAGTTCTTTTCCAAATTTATTGAAGAAATCGTGTTGCCTTCCAAGACAAATTGCACTTTTTGATGTTGAAAAGAATTCCATAAGGATCATTCCTAAGTCCGTAAAATATCAGCAAAAGCAGCTTGTTCTGCAAAGATAGAAAGCAGCTGACTTGGAAAGAAGCTAATGATTGCGGGGAAAAATTGTAGGAGGAGAAGGGAAACCAAAATCACGGAAAGATAACTTCCCAAGGAACACAAGAGAAAAAGAAAGGCTGGAGGAGAGAGAGGAAAATTAAGAAGGAAAGAGGACTATGGAGTGTGTTGGAGGCAGACAGGATCAGGGGGATGGTGCTGGTCCAAAACTCCACCCGCGGTTCTTTGAGTCTCTGTCCGAGGCTCATGTTCAAGTCCAGCTGCAGGTACTGCTCGGTCAGATTATAGGCTGGCCACAGAGGCAGGTCGTCCCCATTGGGATTCCTGGAAAGGAGAGCAGAAACAGGGGTGAGATTTTCCTCCTCACACCCCAGGCCTTGGCATGGGGGAGACTGGGAAGTTTACATACCCGGTTCGAGCAAAGGTAGCCCAGTATTTCATCATCTTCCGGCTCAGCAACTTCTCCTCCTCCGTGGCTCCTTCTGAAGGAGATAATCACAAAATGCTGCTGCTCTCGGTGAGGCTGGGAAAGCCCGGGGTGCCTTGTATTTGATGAATCCCTTTCACACTCCTCCTCCCACTGGAACCTTACAAGCCTACCAAGTCACTGTACCCATTTTACACATGCAGATACTAAAGCTCAGAGCAATGGGCACCTGCCCAAGGAATTGTGGCTTCCAAATGGTGGAAGCTGAACACACATCTTCCCTGTCCACCCCATGTTCCTGCAGCCAGTCCCATGATGCTGCAGGTTCCCTGGGGACACAGACCAGCTTGCTCCCTCTCTCTGTCTCTGTTTTCCCCTCTCTCTCTCTTCCTTCTCTCCATCCTCTCTTCCTTCTCTCTCCCCATCTCTGTCTTCCATCTCTCCATCCTCTCTTCCTTCTCTCTCCCCATCTCTGTCTTCCATCTCTCTTCCCTCTTTTTCTTCTCTCTCTCCCCTCTCTCTTTCTTCCCTCTCTCTTCCTTCTCTCTCCCTCTCTCTCTCCCTTCTGTCTTTCTTCCCTGTCTCTCTGTTCCTTCTCTCCCTGTCTTCCCTCTCTCTTGCTTCTCTCTTTCCTCTCTTTTCTTTCTCTCTCTTCCTCTGCCTCTGTCCTTGAACACACATTTTTACAATTAATTTTTGTATTTCTTTATATAAAAAGTAGAAAATCCAAAATGCAGAAAGAGCATCTAATATCCAATGAAAATGTTTCCCTTTCATCTCTTCCCTGCAGACACCCGGTGACGAGCCTCAGCGGCACCTTCCCAAAGACAGGTTCTGCAGGTTCCAGGGTATAAACGGACACCTTTCTACACATCTGGCCGGAGACTGGACACGTATTCTACATATTGCTCTTTTTATTAAAATTGATCTCATATATAGGACTTGTCACTTATCAAACTGCCATTTGTTGTTCTATGAACGTGTAATATGTAAATACATATTTACATGCAATTATATATAAATATGTAATGTATGTGTCATGTTTCTGATCTTTTGCTGGTAAAAGCAGTATTTTAGTGTGCATATATATTTTGCACATGTGGAGGTATACTTACACAAAAACTCTAGAAGTAGAATTGACAGGCTAAAAACTATATGCGTTTTAATCTACGTTATTTATTTTTATAAAGATGGAGTCACACTCTGTCACCCAGACTGGAGTGCAGTGGCACCATCATAGCTCACTTCAGCTTCCAACTCCTGGGCTCAAGCAATTCTTCCTGCCTCAGCCTCCCAAAGTGATGGCATTATAGGCATGAGCCACCACACCTGGCTAAGACTACATGCATTTTTTTATTTTATAAAATAAAAACAATTTTTGAGACAGGAGTCTCACTCTGTTGCCCAGACTAGAGTTCAGGGCCATGATCATAGCTCACTGTAACCTCAAACTCTTGGGCTCAAGTGATCCTCCCACCTCAGCCTCCTGAGTAGCTGGGACTACAGGTGTGTGCCACCATGCCTGGCTAATTGTGTTTATTATTATTATTATTTTTTTTTTGTAGAGAGGGGGTATTACTATGTTACCCAAAATGTTCTGGAACTGCTGGACTCAAGCAATCCTCCTGCTTCAGACTCCCAAAGTGCTGGGATTACAGGTGTGAGCCCCCATGCCCGGCCTTACATGCATTTAAATGTTGATAGATTTATCTATTAATGTATAAAATTGTTTTTCACACCTGCTAGAATACATTATTTTAAGTGTTTTGTTTTTTTCAACTTTGATTGATGAAGAATAATTCCTTGGTAAGGATGGTCTGCAGTTTTCTTGTTATGAGGGAGGTTGAGCGGATGTTCATATGTCTAGAAGGCACTTGTGTTTTCTTTTCCACGAACTGTCTGTTTGTATCTGTTACCCAGTTTTCAATTAGGTTATTCTTTTCTTACGAATTTTAGGAGCTCCTTAGACATCAAGGAACTTCACCTTTTGATACATATGTTGTTCACTTTTTCCAGTTTAGGGAGTCCCTGTGCCATTACACAGGATAGGCTCAGGAATGGTTGCTGAGAAATAACAGTGACATTTATTAGCTATTCACTCTTACTTTATGGGGCTTATTTTATTTAGTCCTTATGACAACCTAGGAGGAAGTTCTTTATTATCTGTGTTGTAAGATGAGGATGAAACACTGAAATAATGAATAAACCACAGTGCACAAACACACTCTATATGGAATGTTCTATCCTCTTTGTCAGGAGGCCAATGTGAGTAAGTTAAGAGCCTGCATTGTGTAATGTTTCTAACTAAATAGTTTAGTGATAGCTCCTGTGTGTAATTTTCCCTGCAAATTTTTTCTATTGATAACCTCATCTGGTTGGTTTATTTTAGGCACCAAATATGTCATAAATTTAAGAATAAACAAGCTAACATCACAAGTAACAGTTCACAAGCCTTTACATGAGCTCATTGGGGTGCAGACCACTTGGAGCTGGAATTATGTAAAACATGGTCCTTGCCTCTTAAAGCCTCAGATTGTGGCCTCATGGGATTTCTGGGAAGGGAGGGGAGGGTAAGACCCGTGGTCAAAGAAAAGGAAGAAAATGGTTCTAACATATATATATATATATA